TGGGCAGCCAGATTTAGGAAAAAAGCGGGATATCTGTTAAAATTTAAATTTCAGGGTCGGGTGTGGTGACTCATACCTGTCATCTCAGCACTTTGGGAGGCCGAGGCGGGTGGATCACCTGAGGTCAGGAGTTCGAGACCAGCCTGGCCACCATGGCTACTAATAATACAAAAATGAGTCGGGAGTGGTGGCTCGTGCCTATAGTCCCAGCTTCTCGGGAGGCTGAGGCAGGAGAATTTCTTGAACCCGGGAGGCGGTGGCTGCCGTGAGCCAAGGTGTGCCACTGCACTCCAGCCTGGGCAGCAGAGAGGGACTCTGTCTTTAAAAATTAAAAAAAAATAAAATTAAAAAAAATTTAAATTTCAGATAAGCGATAAACAATTATTTAGTATAAGTACGTCCCGTGCAATATTTAGGACATATTTACCACACAAAACACTTATTTGTAATTTATGTGAAGCTCCATTTAACTGGGTGCCCTGTATTTTAACTGGCAAGCCCATATGCCTGGGGGAGGGACTGAGTAGGAGGAGTCCGGAGGAACAAAGCATCTGGTGAAGAAAACACAGAGGAGTGAAGATTAAGGGAGGGAGGGAGGGAGGGGAAATGCTCTTTCATGAGGGTCCCTCTTACAACAGAAGCTTCCACTGTGACTTCCTTTGAGTTCTCCAGTAATTCTGTGTGTTAGAGATATTTATCCGCTTTCAGACAAAACAACAGAGGGTCAGAGAACCCAGTGACTCGCCAAGGGTCAGATGGGAATTCACTTCTGAGTACGACCCGATGCTGGTTCCTCCACATCCAGCTTCTTCACCTGCTGGCGCACCTTTATAATGGTTATCGGCTGCACACAAACAGGGCACGGCAGCTTACTTTTCTAATACTTTCATGAGGAAACAAATTCAAAATGGCGCATCTTTACAACATACAGTCGCCTGTCTTTTAGATTCTCCTCTTGGCCACTTATCCCAACTAAACACATCAGCACTGAGGACCTGTCCAGGGGTTTAGCTCCTGAGGAAGAGACAGAGAAAAGGTCAGAGAAAGGAAGGGCGACGTTCCACCCGAGATGACGACAGCACTATGATCTGCAGATGGGGAAGGTCACGGGGACGCTGGACGCAACAGAATCTCAACAGGGACCCAAGAGAGAAAGGCTCCTCTCTCCCTGCACGAATATCCCATGATCCCCGTGTCCCTTTCCAGAAAACAGTCAGTCCCATGGATCTCGGATTACAAAATCCTGTAAGATTTATACAGAAAATATAAAAATTTGGGGGGTGGGGGTGGGGATTGCGAAACAACGTGAAAAAAACTATTTGTCAAATGGACAATGGGGAATAACTTCCCCTCCCCCACCTCCTCCAAGCTTCTAACATTCATGGCACACAACACAGGGGAGACTGCCATAAAAAAATGACTTCAAATGTGCGATTCTGAGGTAAAATAACTATGGGACAAGTGACTATAAAAATGACACAGCTGGGAAGATCCAAATCTGTTCTTGCTCAGCAAGTTTCCAGGTCAAAATGTGCCTGCTTACCTAGTCAAGATTTGGTTTCGTGCTGTTTTGTTTTTAAATTTTCCTTTCATATAGATGCTAGCATGTTCTTCTTAAAATAAAACACTTGTCCCCCTCACTCTCCTCTCTGGGGAGACCCGTTGGTGGTCAGAGCCCACTGCCAGTTCCATGGAAGTCCCAGGCAGGGGTAAGAGGCCTCCCCTGTGGGAAGCAGTCTGACGGCCGGGCTGCGGATCCCCCAAAACAGCAATGGCCGAGCCCAGGGGCTGAGACTGCCTGCTCAAGAGCAAGGCTGGCTGCCCTGTCCCTGCTTCCTCTCTCCCCTTCCATTCCCATCCTCTTCCTTCTCTCAGCCTCCCCACCCGAGCCCCACTGCCAGCCAGGTGAACACTCCAAAGCAGCAGACAACTAACGCTGGATCTCCCAGGTCCCCAGAGCTCCCCAGTCTTCTGAAGAAGACTGAAGAAGGCAAAAACCACGCTCAATTCCCTGTCGACCAGCCAGTACCAAGCCATTCCCAGCCCCAGCATGAGACTGCAAATGTTACCAGGCAATTCCCCAGAGCCAGCGGGGCGCACGGCAGTGCAGGGCAGTCATCTGCAGACTCAGTTCCAGAGACTAAAGGTCTCTCGAAGCATTTCAGCTGAGGGGTGGACAGAGGCAGCACGTAAAGGAGTGTAAGTCTCTGTTGATGTTTGAGGGCCCCGGCCCTGCAAACGGCATTCTTCGGACTCCGCGGCAGCGGAGTCTCATCGTTATCATAACATAATGAACGTTAAAGATGCTCAAGGTAAGAAAAACTCAGTTTCATTTTGAATCTCAAATCTTTCAGAGCTTTCTTTCGGGAAGTCCAGACAATTAAACTGATTTTAAGACGCGCTGTTTATAAAATCCTAGATCTACAGAAAACACAAATTCTGGCCCATCCTGTCTAAGCATGATGGGGTTTCCAAGTTTCCACTTATATGACATGAGAAGACTCCAAAGCAGACCTTGAAGGCACTGGAGCTGTAACTGCATTTAACACTCAGCCCAGTTTAAATACCCCATGATATCAGTTCTTTCTGATCCCTAAAGAGCTCACCAGCAGACAGGCAACTTCCAGACAGAGGCAGGACAATGAGGGTCCAAAGGGCTGCGACCCTCAGTGCCAGAGCCAAGGAAGGGGGCACTTAGAGCTCAGCTCTTCTCCTTCTCAGGTGGGGGGACAAAGGCCCCAAGGAGGCAGAGCTGGGACTAGTATCTAGGGCTTGGGGCTCTGAGGCTCCCTTTATTGTTACAGTAGGTAGCTAGTCAGACACGAGCAGGGCAGGAGAGGGCTCCACCACCACCAGGAATGTTAGGCGACCGTCAGCTGATGGTCAGGCAGTTGTCAACTGTCGCTCTAAAGTGATAATTGGTTGCAGCCAGTGCCAGGGAAAGGCAGGGTCCCAGCAGATAGAAAGAACCTGAAACTGATGACCAGCAGCTTCCTGGTAAGATCTCAGGAGCTGGGCATGTGGGCTCAAGCATGGGCACTAGGAGGCAAAATGGTGGCCCCTTGTCTAGGAAGGCTGGACTGGTCAGGGAAGAACGGCTTCAGGGAGTGTGTGCGCAACCTCAGCAAGCACACCTGGCAGGCCACCCTCAGGGAAGCACCAGGGCAGGAGTAACGCACACCCAAGAACCACGCCACTGTGTAAGACTCCAAGTCGAAAGTCACACAGCACGTTCGATCTCCCAAGTCACCCACTGGCCCTCTCCCAAGCGTACTTTATTTCCTTTCATTCCTGGTCTAGAGCTTTTTCATACACTTTGGGTCCTGCTCTAAAACTTGCCGTGGTCTCTCACTCTGCCTGAGGCCCCTCCATCAAATTCTTTCTTCTGAGGAGGCAGGAAGTGAGGGTGCTGCAGACCCATACGGCTTCACCGCTGTGAACACTATCACCTCCCTCTGTTGGATCAAGGGCCCCAGAAGATCTTCCCGGGAAAGAAGGGGGGGGGAAGAAGGTGGGGAGTCTTCTACAGTTAAGATGGCAGGTGTTTGCCCAAACCCTCTCCTCTTAAGTCGCCAACCCCTGACCTCAGAGGAAGAGGCCTACCCAGTGACTCTGGGGCAACACGTGAGAGGATTATATAAGGGAGAAAAGTCCACACGGCCCAAGGAGTTATCAGCTCATTCAGGGGCCTTGCAGGAATTTCCTGTTATGTGATCTGGGTCATGCAAATAGCCACAACCGAGCTGAAGCTGCCTCTTCACCCCTCCCTCTGAGGGAAACACAGGCTCTTGACTCACTAGTGGCCTGTACTCTGCAGCTCTCCAACCACTGGGCCTCCCTCCAGGAAGGTCTGCAGGGAGCCAGCATCATGGTGTGCACTGAGAACAAAGAGCGGGGCCTGCCTGCGGGACGGCAAACTCCCAGCTCTTTCCGAGCAAACTCGGGCAGCTCTGCTCTGGGTGCACTGTCGCTCTACCCGCTGGAGAAACAGCCAGCAACGTGAAACTCTCAGACCCAGGGCCACGGGCCTGGTTTACCTTAATCAAAACCCGCTTCGGCTGTTCCTTTCCTTTTTTTTTTTATTTTTTAATTGTAAGATGTAGAACAAGAACATACAAAAAAGTGCACGCAAACATGAAGCCAAACACCCAAGCGAGGAAATAAGACCTTGCGGCTCTCCAGAGCCAACCGAGCCCCACGTCCCCCACCGCCCGCCACGCAGGCTCTGGGAGGCATCGCCCCCTTGGCTCTCCTTTCCCATTCTCCGCACCTGCGCGTTCATCCCTAAAGCCTCCAGGTTAGTTTCGCTCTCATCGCGCAGAGCCGTTCCCTTTTTTGCCGTCGCTGTATAGCACTCCATTGAACGAATGCGTTTTATTTATCCGTTCCGCTAAGTAGCACGTTTCAGTTGTTTTCAGTTTTGGCTACTATAAATAGCGCTACAGTGACTCTTCAAGAACGGTTCTCAGGTCCTAGAGTTTCTCCACGACACACACTTGACAACCAAACGCAGCATCACCTGGAACGTGCTTCTTCGTGCTGACAACTGATGCCAGTCTGTGTTCCAACGCTGTGCCGCCCTCCCTCCCTACAAGACCACCAGTCCACCCACTCTGCTCATGGAGAATAGAGGTCAATGGTGACTCAGGGGCCAAGAAAGCCCAGTTGGTCACTAGAAGGGAAGTTAAGTCTTCCTCCGTAAGACAAAGCCCAAGATTTTAAAATTCTGAACTTAACCAGATCCAACAGCCAAAACAACTGGGCTTTTCCGAAGAAAAAAGCCACAAACTCCCCCAAAATAACGAGGTAGCACCTATGGCTTGGGACAGACCCACCTGCCCATACTGTCAACTGTAAGCAATAAGCACAAATGTGTGCCCGAGACACCAAGTGCAGAAGGATGGGACGCCAGTAAATCCCCGTCTGCCATGGGTGGCAGAAGAGAGAGGGCGGAGGGTGGGGAGGGTCGTGGAGGTGGCCCCCCCGCAGTCATGACGCACCTGTAAACCGGCTGCATCTCCCGGGCTAGGCCAATGATGGCGCCTGGCAGGAAACTGTCAAATTCCTCAAACAACTCCCGGACGTTGGTCTTAAACTTCAGGTCTAGGTCCAGCTGAATGAGCCGCAGGATCTCTGAGGGAAAGAGAAAAGGACAATGAGACACAGGCACACCTCCCGGGAGGCTCGGCCATGGACAGAAAACGACGCGGAGGGCAGAGAAAAGGGCACTGGACTCTTACTGTTGTCAGTGAATGATGCAAAGTTACCGCTGGAACAAAAGGCCTTTCATCTACCAGCAACCCCTCCGCACTATTAGTCTTCACAAACGACTGCCGTGCCTTTTCTTCCAACTGCAGACATCCATTTTGCTTAAAACCAGGCGACCACACGCTCCAGCGTCAGCCTGCTGTCCTGATGTGACTGTTAACTGTGCACCATTTCACTCTCAAAAGTATCTCATTTGGATGATACCTTATGTGGACGCCCTACTTCCCTACATAAAACTCAAAGCGGGCCAGGCTCGGTGGCTCACGCCTGTAATCCCAGCACTCTGGGAGGCCAAGGTGGGTGGATCACGAGGTCAGGAGTCTGAGACCAGCCTGACCAATATTGTGAAACCCCGTCTCTACTAAAAATACAAAAATTAGCTGGGCGTGATGGCAGGCACCTGTAATTCCCGCTACTCAGTAGGCTGAGGGAGGAGAATCGCGTGAACCCGGGAGGCAGAGGTTGCAGTGAGCTGAGATTGTGCCACTGCACTCCAGCCTGGGCAACAGAGCAAGCCACCATCTCAAAAAAAAGAAAAAAAAAACACTCAAAGCATCCAGGTGTTTCCTCTTTGGAGCACAGGTGGTAAATGACCCACACAAGACAGAGGTAAAAAACATTATGGCCTCAGGCCTTTATCAGCGCGTTCTGCAAACCCAGATGTGTGTCAAGTGAAGCTGCTGACAGAGCGAAACAGCTGAACAATCTCAGATACCACTGTGTTTTTAATCCACTGCCTAAAAGACAGGATGAGCCCAAATTCTTCAATGTCACAATCACCTGGCACCTAAGAGCTGCCTGCTTCCATGGCCTCCAGATGACTCCAGGCTAGACGTGCAGGAGGAGGCACTGGTGAAGGTCCTTCCCCCATCCTTCACCCAGCCCAGCCTGACTAGGATTCTAGGTGTTGTGCCAGGCACCAGGCTGACCAGGACCCTGCCCTCAAGAGAGACACGTGGGTTGCAAAAAATAGAGGGAGAGGCCAGTGCGGAAGCCTGAAATCGAAGAGTGGCTGTGGGAGGTCCAAAGAGTGGGGGCACGGGGTTCAGTGATGAAGTGGTGAGAGCGAGTTCCTGGTACCCACCCTGGGAATCAGAACACATGAGTGCAACTTGAACCCAGTTCTGCTGCTGATTGAGCCTGTGACCCAGGGAAAGTTACTTCTCCGAACCTCAGCTATTCCATGCTAAAATGGGGAGGCTCTCCTGTGCCTTGTGTGGGAAATAGCTTATGGACAGTGTTACAGGGACCCTAGTGACTTGAGGAACAGAATTCTGGAGCAGAGCACCACACTGGCCAAATGTAGAATTTATGGGAAGGCAATTTAAGGAATTTGGGATAATTTTGCTGTAACTGAAGAAACTCCTGATGGGAGGAACAGCCATGCATTTAGTCAGCCCGTCAATCATCACATCGAAAGCCCACCACCTGCTACAGGTGCTCTCTCTTTCAAGGCCATCTAAACCCTACTTATTCTGCAAGAAGCAGTCTAAACACCCCAGACAGGCCCTGCAGGAGTCATGGCTTCCTGCTCTGTGCTCCCCACACGGCTGCCTGTGGTCACGGCCACCTGCACACCGGTCTCCTTGAGAATGGGAATGTGCTGGGAGGGCGGGGCTCAGGACCATCAGATGCTTCTGGATGAGCGTCTTAATCTTGTCTTCATATACCCGTCAGTAAACCTGAGCACTTCCCCTGCACTTTAGGGACCAGCTGGGAGTAAACCCAGAAACGTCCTACGTAGGCCTAAGACACCGGAATCTGAGCTGCTTCGATGTTATTTACAACTCCTCCTTCCTAAAGCACCTTCCAGGAAGGGTTAGCTTCAAGCTGGTAACACTTCACCAGGTGAGGTCCATTGACTAGGAGGGAGACAGGCGGCAACTCCAGCACAAAGTGACCCCTTCACACCCATGTAGAACGACTGAGATGGGAGGCCACGCCCTTCTATTCCCAGAGGCCAGCAGGCCCCTGAGCAGCCTGCCCTATCGTGCAGGCACCTGTCCAGGAGGTTAGCCCCTTTATGTAATTATGAATTAAGGCGCCAAGTTGTAAATGCCACTGTTGAAGAGAAAGATGCTTCCTAGGAATGCTGGAATTCATTAGGATGAGGTTTCTAAAGGGGCCTGTTCCTCTGGCCTCTGGTCCTTAATGTAGCCGTGTCTCTGTGGGAAATACGTGGGGGCAAGAGGGTTACACAGAATGCTGAAGGCATTGTGAGGACAGAATGAGACTGATCCATGGAAGCAACATCACAGAGAAGATGCTGGTTGGAGGAGAGCTGAAATGACAGCAGTAGGCCCACCGAAATGTAAGGAATACATGACTGAGATAACTGCCCCCAATGCCAGGAAGACATGAAACCTGTAAATCATGAGGAAAAATGTCTGAGAAAAAGGAAGACTAGACATCTACAAGACTCACAAGAACGGCCAGCACCCCAGGCTGGCTGAATGTCCACCACGTCCAAACCTTGAGAAAACACAACAAAAAGAATGATCTAGCATGGCAGATCTGAAAAGCCTGGTTATAACTGAGGCACCTCTACCCATTTTACAGATGAGGAAACTGAGGCCCAAAAAGAGAGACCTGTCAGGCATTACACTCAAGCTAGGTGGCAAAGCTGATCTCAGAACCCAGGTCTCCTGACTCCCTAGCTAATGCTCTTGTGTTTATTAGCCCCATCACCTCCAACCTACTCCCAACACGGGCCATAAACTCCTAGAGAACACAGAGCATTGTGTAATGGACCAAAGGGTGTGCACAAGACTAAACGGGCACCCAACACAACTAGCTCGTGGAGTATCTGCATCAGCCCGTGAAAATATCAGCAAGAAGACGAGTGAGTACAAGCTAAAGGTGTAGCTTTCAAGACCTCCAAGACCCTGTCACCACCATCGCCGCCACAGCCCTGGCAGCACTCCTCAGGAGCTCCTGGCTGTCCAGGGGACTGCTTTCAGGGCTGAGAACACCTACGCCTTCTGCCTGGGTCTGAGGCCTGGCTGGCGGCCGATACCTCTGTACAGTTACACCAGAGAGGGCCACATGCACGGCCCCAGTCCCAGCTGGGAGATTTTCAAACCAACATTCCCAAGGGGATGTGCGGCTGGAATTGGCGGTGGTGGATCTCACATCCAACAGGAACTTGGGTCGCTTCTGAGCCGGACGTTTCTCTGCCGAAGCGCTCTTCTCCATCTCCCTCCCAGTACATGGCTTGGGCCAACTCAGCTCATCATCAGCATCCAATTAAACCAGCCACAAGCATGTCATCTGACCATGGGTGGAATTACAACCCAGGGTGAGTAATTAATGATACCCAAAAATAAACAACAAAAGGAAAAAAAATTCCAGAAGAAAAAAAACGTGAGCCTCTGTCCTCTCCTTTGCCTTCTCCTATCCCCGGAAGCAATTCTTGGCAGACACATCTTAACACACAAAAAGCAACATGCAACAAAATAGATCAAGAAATGGTGCAAAGAAAAGACATGCTCAGGTAAGCACGGTACCTACCATCCTGGGAAACACAACAGGCCTTCAGGGAGGGGCAGGTGAACCACGCAAGCACCTCCTCTGTCTTTCTGTTTTGAAAAGGCCTCAGAGATTTGCAGAGATAAATATTTATAACACTTTAGAGAGCTTTCACTGCAGAGCGTCAGCCCAAATTCCACTAACTGGGAGAGGGTTTAGGGAGAAGGGGAAATTATGACAGCATTAAGCTATGTGACTCCAGCGTCATGAGGCTGGGGACCTGGAAGCAGCTGCCTGGAAAGGGAGCTAATTTTCCCATTGTCCACTTTGAAATATTGCAGCAATATGCCACCTGCCTTTTCATACTCTGGTGTTTTTAAATCGCTGTTCAGTAGCACCTCTGGCCGGCGGGAGCCAAAGGGCAACTGAAAGGGGTGGAGACTTCCCCTAACAGTGAGAGGATCCTGACCCCAGAGGAGTTATTTTGAGGCCCATGGGACAGGACGGTTCCCCTGTGCTCCATCAGCCAGACCAGGCTGGCTTCCCGCACTGGAGGGTCTGAGCATGTGACAGAGGGTTTGAGCATGTGGTAGAAGGTCTGAGCACGTGACAGAGGGTCTGCCCCCGCAACACACAGACCCAGGCTGTGTCCCCAACGGGATGTGTGGTTGGAATTGGCAGTGGTGGATCTCACATCCAACAGAAACTTGGGTCGCTTCTGAGCTGGACGTTTCTCTGCCGAAGCGCTCTTCTCCATCTCCCTCCCAGTACAAGGCCCGGCCACAGGGCAGCTGGCTCCCTATAGGAATAGGGGCTACAAAGGAAGAAAGGGAACATGCCAAGGGTCCCAGGCCTTGGGCACAGATTCTAGGGGCTCCTCCAGCCTGACCAAATGTTCACCCTCTAGGAGCAGGGAAAGGATGTCTGTGTGCCAGGCCCTGGGAAGGCTTTGCATGGACTCAGCCCATGAACCTCCATCATGCCTCCTCGAGGTGGCTGTTAGTATCTTCCAGTTTCAGATGAGGAATCTGGTGCTCAGAGAGTTTCGGTAATTTGTTTAAGACAACTCAGCAAAAAAGGCTCCGGGTGGAGAGCAGTTACAGATTTGCCTCACTCGATAGTTTGCTTGATCCACCGCACATTTCTGAGAAAAGCCTTCAGACATCTCTGAAGTCCCTTTTGAAGTCCTATTGTCTTTATGAGCCAGAAATGCTTCCACATCAAGAGTGAAGACAGCAGACAACTCCAGATATCTCTGTACAGTGGCTGGGGCTTCACGGACAGAACCCCAGTCACAACCACCTCCCGCAAGACCCTCATCTCCAAAAAGCGTGAAGACTATTGGGATTCCCTTTCATTGACAAGGACCAATAGAGAAACTTCTGGAAGAAAGGGTT